CGACCACGTGGTGGAAAGCGGCCATTTTGTTTCTCGTTCGGTAAGAAGACGTTCTCCAGTTCCGTGAGTTGCTATTTTACTGTCATGCATCCAAGTAAGGTATGGCCACAGTGTGAAACTATTGTACCACTAAGGCTGAAAGTGTGTAAATCTTGCCAACATGTCTTTGCTGTCCAAAGAAAAGCCGAGCATAATTTGCTAGACAAAGCCATGAAACGCATGCGAATCTTACGGTCAGATAAGCTATGAAGGCTAAAAATAAAAGAGCGTCAGAAACTAGCGAGCAAACTGTGCATAGACGAGAAAAAGACAGAAGCAACAAAGCAAGCATGAGAGCAAGTGAAACTAGCGAGCAAACTGTGCATAGACAACAGCAGGATTTTATGTGTATGTGAAAATAATCAGTCTTGTTCTCCGCACACGTCCACAGATTATTGGCTTAAAGTACCAGGAAGGAAACAAGGGGTAATTAGACAGGAAAGACACACAAAGCTACACGTTACCATCCCTATCATTGTCAATGGGCAAAATTTATGAAACAAAAGACATTGAGATGGTATGGTGTAGCTTTGTGTGTATTTCCAGTGTAATGACCCCTTGTTAACCCCCGACGCGCATGCGCAGCGAGGGTTACAGTAGTTGGGTCTGTCTGTCAGTCTGTTACTCTCAATCTCAGTTCTCGGGTACTTTTTTCGTCTCACAAAGGATACGACCTACTTAACGGGCAATGAAGGTCAGAAATTACGAACGGTTTTCTCCGTTGCAAAGCTAGAGCGCGAAAAAGCCAATATGCAAATACATAACGGACGGGATGGCTTACCACGGTCTGATCGATCCGCGTGCTCTGCGTACTTCGGAGGCACCAGAAGATGCAACGCAGGGCGTGTATTGTCTCTCGCATACTATCTAGTAGTGTAGTTAACCCGCGTCAGACTCGTCTGCGCGAGCTGGCAAGAGACCGCGAGTAACAGCTAAAACTAGTTCGAGTGAGTGTTTTGGTTTACAGCCACTAGCAAGTGTAGCTACTAGAGGAATCCAATGCATTGTTGGCAAACCAAGTGAGCAATAATATTTCGTGCGCATTTTGCACGTATTTAAAATAACGTAGAACATTACAGTAGCTATTTGCAGTGCCCGTCACACAGAGCCCGTCCCAGCTAACACAGTACATGTGCTGCAGGGGATTGTGCAAAAGTCATTGCTATAGGTGATTTCTATATAGGGTAATTCACATTCTTTATGAAATGCATAGCTACAGTAGAACCTCGACAAAGGAAATTTCAAATGAAGGAAACAATACCTCTGATAAGTTTTAGATCATACACGTTCACTTTTCATTCAAATTTTTAACCTCAAAAGAGAGGTCTACCTCCCTATAAAGAGCAAAGCTCATGGTCCTAACTTGTACATTATTATATAGCAGATTACAAATGTACAAGTAGCAAGATATGCAGCAGGCAATGACAATGTACTTTCCAAGTGGAAAAACAAATTCTTCAAAATGAAGGGGGATGTAGGGATGGTGTAAATTATGAAAAAAGATACCAACAAGAAAGATGCTTCAGCTGAAAACAAAATTCAAACATCCATCCCTACATCTTTCTTTCTTTAGCTCTGTCTAAGAATGTGTAGGCACTCGTTATTGGCGTAGGTATACTAATACATAACAAATGACAGTTGAGTTTGTGAGTAAAGAAAGATGTAGGGATGGATGTATGGTTTTTGTTTTGAGCTGAAGCATCTTTCTTGTTGGTATCCTTTTTCATAATTTACGCCATCCCTACATCCCCCTTCATTTTGAAGAAATGATTTTTCCACTTGTTCCACTTATTTTTTAGCACATGCTCAGCCCCACCCTTTTCGCATTGCAGAGTGGCGAGCAAGGGGCTGCACGCATTAGGGTTCATGCACGCGTGGGTGGAGATTTATGCACTGCAGAATATTTTCAGAGATCATGATTGCACACACTTGCAGTGCATTGTGGGGGCAGGGGCGATGGCCGTGACGTAGTTTGCATTTTTGACACTTCTGCGATTCTTGCGCGAGAGACTAGCGGGCACATGCGCAACTAACAACCCAACATTCATTATACAATATGCTATGTTGTGAATTGTGAAGGAAAGATTTTTTCTTTTGAAGAGGTCTATATATCCCCGAGTTTCTTGGCAGGAGGTGCTCTGAAGTGTTTTTCCTGCCCCTTATCACCACCACTGCATGACTTGTACATTCCTGCACCCTAATCCCACTGAGTGCTGACCTAGCCTTTGCTGCACTACCAACTCCGCCTACTCCTTTCCTTGTCTGGCTAGCTACTCCTCTGTATTACGCTTTGTGTTTCACTTGACAGTGCATACTACCTATGTGTTCAAAGGTGTTGGACTGCAACTGCACTTGTCAAGCTGGACCCTGAACCCTGCAAACTTCTGGCTTCTACTGCCACTTGGTACTAGCTACATACCCCTGATTTGGCCTCCACCTTTCCCCTCCCAGCTCGTCCACCCATACAGAACATTTCGGTCAGATCAGGTCTCGCTCCACATCCTCCACCAGCAGGTGACGGCTTTATAGCCTCCCCTATGGGGTAGGCGATTGGTTATAATGGCAGGGTATCCTTCCCACAACAGGTCACTCTGTCTGCATTACCTCTCTAGTCAGCCATATCAATATTATTCTTCAACTGGGCTAACAGCTGCCTTTTTCTGACCAGGGTCAGCATGATAGGAGGCCCTAGCCACTGCCTTTACCTTACCCGGGCCTAACTGACAAAGGGGCCTCTAGCCTATATAGTATTCTGGGAATTCTGCACATATCTACTGCCCTTCTTCTTTTCAAGCTATAAGGCAACTTATCTCAAAGGATGGAGAAGCCAGGTGGCAGTGACGACAGCAGAACAGTGGTAGAGCGCAGTGGAGGACCTTGGGATTGAAGGAACAGGGTGGGGTTCTTGTTATCAGCCACGACTGTCAGCAAAGAAGTACTGGCTAGAGGCCGAGGGAATGCAAAATGTTGAACTGGGAGGAGAGTCGTCAGGCACCCCTATTAAAATAGGCAATGAGGGAATGCAGACAACTTGCAGTACCTTGAAACAAAATTCACTGTGGCCTCAACTCCAGAAACCCAAGCTGTAGCTACAGACATTGGAGTAAATTATATAATATAATCGCAATAGCAAGACTCTTACTTTTGACAGTGGCGGCTCCAGCAGAATAGTAGCAGCAGTGCAGAAAAGACAGACACAGAGGAGAGATGTCGCCTCGTGGAGGTCGTTGAAAAATTCGTCGCGTGGAACCATGAAAGAAAATTCGCAATGAGCTGGATTGCAGCTTGCCAAAGTACACACAATGGTAGCTCCTTACCAGACGTTATATATTATAGCTAGGCCCAAATTCCTGAGAAAAGCGGTGGAAAACCTAGGCGAGCCTGCCAGGGGCGTAGGAAGCGTAGCGGCCAAGACACCTGTGGCCGTATAATATACCTGCGCTATGGCACGCCCGTGCGCGCGTACGTGGGTGTGCATATATACGCGCGCGGAGCTGGCCACGTGTAGAGCAGCCGTCGCATGCAAACGTATTAGCTAAGCAGACTAAAATGAGGGCAGTGAAACATTCCTACGCCCCATGCGAGCGAAAAAAACAGCGGCCACACGGAGCGAACGGCGGGGACCACGAGTGTTTGTTCGTCTCACAAAGGATACGACCTACTGAACGGGCAATGAAGGTCAGAAATTTTGAACGGTTTTCTCTGAAACTGCTCCGTTGCAAAGCTAGAGCGCGAAAAAGCCAGTATGCAAATACACAACGGACGGGATGGCTTACCACGGTCTGATCGATCCGCGTGCTCTGCGTACTTCGGAGGCACCAGAAGATGCAACGCAGGGCGTGTATTGTCTCTCGCATACTATCTAGTAGTGTAGTTAACCCGCGTCAGACTCGTCTGCGCGAGCTGGCAAGAGACCGCGAGTAACAGCTAAAACTAAACCCAGTCCATCAATTAGTGGTACGGCGCATGCGTTTACTTACGCGTGCGCGTCACAGTGCGCCAAGGGTTTGCACTTTAGTGCATTTCATTTCTTCTTTTTTTTGGTGCTTAAAGCCATCCCTATTCCCTATTATACATATTCCTTCATTCTTAGAGAATATTTCCACTTGTTACGATTTGCATAGCAGTAAAGTGCAAATAAAAGTAATATGTATACTGTGTAGCTACAGGATTAGGGAGAGAAAAAAACGTGTGCCATTACAATGAAAATGAAAAGCACTGAAGTGCAAACCCTCGGCGAACTGCGCATGCGAGGTATATTAGTACTCGCGGTCTCCCGCTAGTATATAGCTCGCAGAGAGTCTGACACGGGCTAGCTACAGTAGTAGATTAGCATGCGAGAGTCGATACACGCCCTTCGTTGTGGCCTTCAAAATACACAAAGCAAGCAGACCCGGTCCTGTGCTAATGTAAAGCACTAAAGTGCAAACCCTCGGCGAACTGCGCATGCCCGATACTGCAAAATTGATGGGCTGGGCCGGCTATTTGTATGCGTTTACTCGTGGTCTTCCGCTAGTAGTCCGCGGAGAGTCAGACACGGGCTAGCTAGCTACAGTAGTAGATAGCATGCGGGAGTCGATACGTTGTGACTTCCTGCGCCCCCAAGGTATAATACACAGAGCGAGCGGATCAGGTCGCGGTAAGCCAGTGCGATTTGGCTTTTTCGCACGGCATATCTCTCAAACGAAGTCGTTTCAGAAAAATTGCATAATAATTTTTCAGCCTCCCGTAGTTCTGAATCCGCTGGTATCGCTAATGCGCCGCCTCGTAGCCTGTAGTGCCAAAATTAGCGTCGACGCACAGACAGACAGACAGACAAACCAACTACTGTAACCCTCGCTGCGCATGCACGCCGAGGGATAATGAGTAGCTACTCACTATTGATGTATAGGTTATACGATGGCGGCGCGTGGTGTACACGAGTGGCCAGTTTTGATAGGGCACGAGGGCGTAGCCCGAGTGGTCTATCAAAACTGAAGCCACGAGTGTGCAACCAGTAAACCACAAGCAAAGTCCTGTTTGTATGGTGACATCCGGCGGTAAGGTGAGATTGCGCAAAAGCTTTCAAAACGCCCTCTTTTTAACGCACACCCTCAAGTGTATATACGACGGAGATCGAGAGAGCTATAGCTTGCAATCGATCTGGCGGGGAGAGGCAGCTGCAATAAGCGCTTTAGTCAGTCAGGCTGGGCGGTTGTGCAGAAGCCGTGGTCATTTCTCAAGAGTTCAACGTTACAGGTACGTCAAAGCTGCCGCACGAGTTTTGTAGCTGCCGCTCTGGCTCGCTTTCTTACCCACTCTCCAATACAGCCTGTTGCCAATAGCAAGAAAGCTGAAAGTCACCGAATACTGTTCCAGTCCACGGGAGCCTACGCGTCGGGAAGCAGCTTTCGCTAGTTTTATATACTAGGCAGTTTCTGGCCATTCTAGCTTGAAAACACTCCCTTTTGGTAAAGAAACAGCAGCACACAAAGAGCGTAATTGCATTCCACGCTGCCAATTTCCTACTATCGTCTAACTCCTGTAGACCCACTGTGGTTTATGCAAATAAGTTGACATACAGCTAAAGTATGGGGAAATTGTATGGCCTCTTTATGTTCTAACTACCCGTAGACTGAGCAGGAAGCGCTCACTACGCATCTACGTTGTTTGGACTAGCTGGAATTCTTACTCTCAGTCATCATACAAAATTATATATATGAAATTTACAGGTGTCTGTGGGGTGAGTAGATAATGGAGACTACTCTGACTCTCCTTGTTCTGACTGCTGTTGTTGGGTGAGTCTCTATATACTCAGGAAAGGTACTTCCAGTCAGAGTGTGCTATATATGGATGTTCTCATGGTTATCAAGTTGTGCTGTGCACATTATGGGATAATACAAAGTTAGTTAGTGTAGGTATGTCAGTTTAATGTTTAATCAATGTAATACTGTTCAGTAATACTTGCTCCCATTTAACCCCATGCCCGCATGCAAAATCAGCAGCGCATGCGCCATGCGCAACTACCAACCAGGAATGACTGTGCAACCAGCGAGACTGCCGGCAAAAAGACCAATACCACAATGATGCACAACCGAAAAATGACCAATCAAACCTAAATTATGAGCAATCACTACAATAATTATTGCTCAAGGGAAAAAAACCCCACTCAGCCAAAAAAAACCTCTACTTGAGAGGAAAAATACAGAGTGGGAAAAGAACCATATTAAAAGCATACAGCAAAACAAAATTAAAGCCTGTTGGCCATTAAGCCACACTGCTCTCTCAGGTTCCAGAAGAGAAGGCAACTCCCTCCAAATCCATTACCCGCTGTAGGCACCAGCAATCTCAAACTCGCCCCAGCATCACCACAGTTCTGAATCCTGCAAACTGAGCTCCAAGGTCCACATAGTAGCTCCTCTGTGCAGCAATGAGCCCTACTCAGACTACTTGGCGCATTTCGTGCATGCGCGCATTCCATAACAATGGGAGCTTATTTTCCGTCTAATTCGCTGCGCTCAAACGATATAAAATATAGTTTAGCAAGCTTGACTAATTGCTGAGCTTGGATTATGGGAGTGACCGGTGCCATCCGTACACATGAACATCCAATGAGAACAGTGAACATAATAATTATTCACTCATAGACCAAGCCTGTTAGCATAGGGCATGAACATGACATTCTGGTTTCTGTTGTAAACTTTTATGTTTAATTGCAGCCTGTCGCAGCAGCAGATTCCTCGATGTGTTCTGAGTAGATTGGACAATGTGCCTTGTAAAAAGTTAAATCCGAGGATCAGGGATGCTTCAGAAAACAAGTGTGTTGCTAATTCAGAGATGGATAGGTTTGCTTTTAGGATCTGTTTGTGCTCTTCATGCAGCTTTAACCCTTTGGATGCTATTGGTATCTCCTTAAATGAGCAGAAATTGATGCATAACATGTTGACGCCTAGTGTTACAGCCCCATATAATTTGTCTTGACTTATTGAGCAAATACTGGAGCTCTGAACATACATTTATATGTCCGTGGCTTGTAACGGATAAATTTTATCTTGTTGCCTATGTTGTAATGTAAGTTTAACTTTCAAAATGCAGTCAATATTCAATTCACTACACAAAAATGGAAGGAGATGGTGCAGGTGGAATACGGTGTCGAGTGAAACGTAGAAATGAGCAAATCAGAGATATTAAAACTGTTGGTACTGTTCACACAAAGATCATACATTCCCCCGGATTTGATCTCGGGGAAAAGTAAGCCTTTTGATGGTGATGACTGTTATGTGTAATGAAAACTATATAAGTTATTGCTACTCGTGTTGTTTTTGTCCTGTTTAGGTATGACAATCAACTCCTAGTACAGTACAACATTAAGTGTGACGAGGGGCGACTAGCATTCTTAAACGTCACGGAAATCGACCTACCGGGAAGGGAAGACTGTGTGTATAACGGAAAACAAATGTTAGTAGCTAACAGCTAGAGCACGACATATTCAGCCACGGACACTAATGTGTCCAGAGCCTCCATAAGTCCATAACAACTCATTGGGGTTATAATACCTGGTGCTTGCAAAGTTCAATAGGTAAAGCTAGGTTCTCTATTAATTTAGCAGTTTAATGGCAGAAGGTTTCTATAGCTCAATTTAACTAGGTTTTCGAGCAGTCTTTTATTGGTTAAGTCAAATGTGTCAGCAGCATAACTTAGTGTTTCTAGCTTTTCTAGCACTCAGATTTGCATTAATGGCAGAAACGTTTGACCTATATATATGATGTCCAAAGAAGGTCTCACTCCACAGGTGTCAGGACTATATCCTAATCGATCGTGGAATTTCTGGAACTACTGAGTTATGCGGCAACTCTACTTCCAATGACACTACGTCAGAGTTGGAGACAGTCAGGGAATTTCACTGTTTACTTCCGCACAAGTGAAGAAGGGAAATTTGGTGGCTTTGAGATGTACGTCATCTGCTTTAGAGAGGAAGATAGGGATCGAAGAGGTGACTCACCATCATAAATACTATACCATAGTATTTATAACCAATGACTAAATATCTCCACAGGTTGTTTAACACCAATGGATTTCAACTCTTCTGTGTGTTCTGCTGATAGTGGCGGTGGGGAACAGCAGCCACAAGATAACAGTAATGCACCATAGCAAGCATGTGTGACTGTGGTATTTCGTTAGGTACCTGGAACAGTATATAATTAACCCATGCATTGTCATCAATGGAGGGAGCAGTTCATCTGGTTTCCATGTTTGGGTCACATGTGTAGTGCCAATCACAAGTAGATCCCATTGCAGTACTGCAATGGTATTCGGCTGCCAATGTATAGCAATTGGCTATGCAGTGAACACTCCATTGGATATTTGTGGTTGCATGTGTCTGCAACATCCAGTGTTCCAGGTTATACCACCACATACACAAATACTCAAAATGAATGGCCTGGGTACACTCTAAAGCTGATGTATAGCTAGTCTGTGAGAGAAAAGATTGTTGGTCAAATATTCTGTGTTGACTGCCGCTGAATTGCAAAAAAGACTAGAGGTGTCTGTATGTTGTTTGTAGCCCAAGATGAAGGTCGTGGAAGAAGGAGGAGGGACACTTACTCTGATGTCACATACAAGGATATTTTCCCTGAATATCCTTCAGGCCTGAGGATGAGGGAAGATGTTGCAAATTTTGTGAGTTTGTGTTCGTAAAAAGGACAGAATTTAAGAAGTTGTTACATTAAAATGATATAATTGAACACAAAAATTAAAAACTTGCTGTTTTTAGTCCGACTTTACACTCTGTCATGTCACTTGTATATACCTGCTCGAACCTTCCAGGTAATGTGCATTGGGCACAACCGTTGTTTTTTCTACCTCATTTTCTATTGTCATTGCAGCACAATCTTTGGCGTCGTAAGAAGAGGCAAGCTGGAGGAGACTTTCGCTTCATTAGTAGAATTGTACTCCTAAATGAGTCGGTAAACTATACTGATAGTACCATCCGGATAGCTGACACTGATGGCACTGAGACTGGACTGTGAGACCTGAGAATTTACTGACTCTATGGCATGTCAAATACAGTGCCTTTCTCTCCATTATAGATATGAATGTGTTCAACTTCTGGAAACGTTAAATGCACTGGGGGAAATTGACACCTATGTTACTCGTGTCACTTGTCCGAGAGAAGAGGTCTATCCTCACTTCTTTGGACCAGGTTTGAAAGACTGTATATATAATACTGAGTTTTACGTTAATGTGACCAGTACTTATTTAATTTTGAGGGTTTTGCTGACCTTCAGATTTAGTTGGTTACAAATTTTGAGAAAATGAGCAAGTGAATGGGTTGCAGGTGTTGAGAATCAAACTAGGGTCCTCATAATAAACAATCTGTGTGTAATGAGCTACTAAGTTTTAGTGAATGGTCTATGTTGTTAGCACTATTATATGCTGTACTTTTGTGCCCAATTCTTCCCTACTTATTTGGTTTAAACACCTTTGCAGAATTTCTTTATCCATGCTTGGGTGCAAAATAATCCATGCTTTAATGCAGTATCACTCCTACAGGTGCCCTGGTAATAATTGGCAGTCATGCATATTTCCAGCTGTTTATTATTGATCCACGAGTAAGTTTATTACTTTGTATAAGATTTGACTTGGTCAAATTATTAACTGTCAATAATGTCCCTCAGTCCTTATATAAAATTAATGACTATATATGGTGTGATTGTAACAATGATTGTGAACCCCAGGGACTGATTCCAACTCCTGAGGAAGAGGAAGAACTGAGACTGATGAATGAGCCACTGTTTAATTCCATTCCAGGTGTTTTTGATTTTGAAACCAACGAAACCAATGGTGCAGTATCTTCTCATTTAAATGACAGTATAGCAATGATTTTCATTTAAAATACACTTTTCTTTTTCCAAAGAGTTTTATCTGGTAATGGCTCAATTGTGTTTCAGACTTTTCCAACAAGATTCTGTTCCTGGCTCTTAGGAATCGTGAGGCTTGCACTCCAGCTGTGAGACAACAAGCTATGTCACTCATCGAGTTATTCGAGTCAGTATCTATCACACACATTATTCATCACCTAATGTATTGCATGGTTCTCTAGTGAGGCTATGGTGATGGCGTTGCAGAATTTCACAATTAATTGCACAGTGGAAGGGAAGGAGGTAAGGTGTACTGTGGATGATGGCTATGATCCGCCACTTGACCAAGGCACCTTCTGCACTGTCAATGACAAACCTCGTATAGAATGTGAGGGTTATAGCTAAGTATTAGTTAAATAAATGAGCTACATTTTGATGTTGATGATGGCTATGCTCCTGCACTTGACGAGGGTACCTTCTGCACGGTCAATGACCAACCTGCCATAGAATGTGAGGTTCTAGCTATCTGTAGATCTCTTCAGACAGTTTTTTTACGAGCACCAGTTTGTATTAGCATTAGTGGGTCTTTGTGTGATCTGAACAATATCCAGGTGATCCATTCTATGTGGGTTTTGTTTCACAAGAAGAAATAGAAACAGTAACTGTTGAAGCCATCAACTGTAATGGGCAAAGAGCAACTATGACGGTAATTTCAGCAGGTTTTTTACAATTACAGCATAATTACTCTGCCTTTTTTGCAGGTCCCTCCGGTAGCTCCTGAATGTTAGCACGTAGTGGACACTTATTTTTTGAACAGTGTGTTTATAATTTATTAATGCTGAACTGTATTGCAACAATAATACATTGCCAAGTTTCACATTGTTATTGTCTTCCTTTTCTGTCTCCTCCTATGCATGTTGAGACTGAAAACCCAATGTGTATATATAGCTACCCCAGCCTAATTTGAATAGTTTACCATTTGTAGCATAGAGGTGTCTTTACCGCTAATATCTAGGTGTACACTTTTTGCTGTTAGAGAGTGTAGCTTGGGGGACCTCACGATGCTTATAACCCTTTTGACGCCAAGGGTATCTCTTTAAATGTAGAATATCATGTATAAAGCATTAACGCCTAGTATTATGACCCCTGTATTAATTTTTATGGACTTATGGAGGCTCTGGACTCATATTATATGTGTCCGTTGGCTGCTTAAGTGTTTTGGATGTCAGCCATCGTTGAACTCCAATATACCTCCACCTTCACCCTCTGGTGTTTCCAGCCCTATCTTCCAGCTTCCCAGTTTCAATTCCGAGAGACAGTTCAAGAAGCCTAGCCTAGTAATTCTGAACAAACGTCTATGGTATATCAGAGCTCATTATAATAACACCAAAGATTAATTTTAACACTCTCGCAAACACTCTGGATAAAAGCACAGTGAAATGTATTCAGTTGCAGTCAGTAGGAGCTCCCAAAAGTAGGTAGATATATATATATTCCATTAAATGTGCTGGATTCGCATTCTACTTGGACCATTATAATACCCCTCATAAGTCAATGCAAGCATGATTAGGTAGTAACAAGCGTGAGTGCAGTTTCAATGACCATGGGTATAGTCTTGCATGAGTAATCCATGGCATAGAAAGGGACTTTGAGCCAACTGCTGAATTTAGAAAATGCAGTAGCTATCATCTGTATCTGTACACAAGACTTCAAAAACAGGAGAGACGACTGTAAACTTTACACACAATGTTTTACACAAACCTCGAAGTGCATGTTTGTCATTATTATGATACAAAACATACAAGTGGCAGTAAAAACAAACTCACTCATCACATCTTTCAAAAGGTATTTAAATGATGTGCTGTTGTTCATCAAACTCCTCATATGAAAGAATTCCACTGTATGTAGCTTACACAAGGTGACATGCATGCGCTGTTGTCCTTAGCGCAGGATCAGTGGACTCAAGCTCTAAAAGAACGACATGTCCCTGGTGTGCCGTCCGGCAATGATGTTTAAAACTACATTCCTCGTGAGCTGGTGCATGTCACCTTTTGTTAGCTACATACAGTGCAACCTTCGATAAAGGACCCTCTGAGATAGGGACGACCTCTCTTCAAAGGACACTTGTTTCAATCCCATGACAATACCTTAGTTTCTTATGTTTGGGATAGCCATAAGATGACGATGGAACCACCATAACACAGGTGATCCAGTTGTCAGGCTGTTCCTCAGCTTCATTTTCTGTTGCAATGTGCATTTGACTTCTACAATTAATAGTGAATGGTATGTCGAGAAAAAGCTCCTCTTTCTGATGGAATTCAGATGCCAATGTAGCCAGCTAATTTCAGCTGCAGCTCTTGCAGGCCTTCATGCATATGAATCTGCAGGTTGAGCAAGTTTCTGGAAATGTGAGGTCCAAGCCTCATGGGGTTGGGTTGGATTGGATACTAGTTTGCCACCACCACACACCCTTACATTGAATTTTTTTCCTTTCTCGTGGCAACATGAAACATACAGCAGCCCCTCATTTTGGCCTGCCCCCATCTTTCCATACCTCCCACGCAGCCTTGCTCTGGGCACATAACGTAGACAAAGTGCTATCCTTGAAACGACTCACTTTCTTATATTCAGAGTGTGGTAGAAAGGACTCTGCTGCCTCCTTGATCAGTGTCGCTACATGCTTAATCTTATATCATCTAGTTGCTCAGCATCACAGCGTGGTTTGCCAATGAAAGGGCAGAGGCTGTCCCCCCTGAAACAACATAAGTGCTCAGCTTTAGCCCAATCAATTCTGTTCAAGTTCAAATGTTGAGCCTGCCAGTGTAGCAACACCACAGGACAGCTTGATAATTAGATGGGAGGTGGTCAGACCGGTTCAACGCTTAATCCTCATGAGTCCAGCAGTGGTCGCTGCAAGAGGAGGTTTACATTCGTCAAGGTGTTAGTCAATGGTGATGAACTTATCTCCGGAATGGAAAGTGTACTCGGGACCACATGCAGTGTTACTCAATGATGAGGCATGGAGGTCACATCTATTGAGCAGGTCTCCTAGCAAAATTCCCTGACTGTTAACAGTGTTAGGAGCGCGAGGACCCCACATGTGATCGAGGTGGCCATTGAAGTTACTTGCAATCACTACCACTGGACCAAAGTTGGCAGAGTCCGAGATCTCTCTCTCTCTCTCTCTCTCTCTCTCTCTCTCTCTCTCTCTCTCTCGTTAAACCATGTCTAGTAGTCCATCCCTAGGTCAGGTAGGTCAGCGCATGGTAGATAGACGCCAACAATCAATGATCGATAGCCACTTCTCATCATCTTTCTTGTCACAAAATATTCTGGAAAGACATCCAGGGATTACTTCTATAAGATGCTCACTGCTCCACAGCCTCTATTCTTGCCATGTGCTCTTTCCAACAGTTTGGAGTCGGCACTCTCAAAGCCAGTGAAGCTTGCCTGCCCAGCACCACATGTTCCAGCTATAACCAGTTCACCCAACAATTGGGTTACTTCTTCAAAATAACCAGTGTTGGGATTATGCCATATATAATTGAGTAGTGCAGTGGATAGGTGTAGTAATAAAAGTGAAGGACTTATATGATATATAAAATTTCCCAGCCAAGCAGCCAGTTCGAAATGGTGGACTGGTCAAGGAATAGGGTAGGGGCTAGGCCTAGGGCAAGGGCTAGGGTTCGATTCTCTTCATGAAATGGTATCGGTCCTAATGTTCTTCATCACTGTGCACTTGCTCTCTATAAACCTCTCCATCACCTATTCCTACTTAGCCTTTCCCACTCCAACATTCCTGCAGAATGGCGTTCACACGTTATCATTCCAGTCTTCAAGTCTGGTGACAAATCATCTGTTCGTAACTACCGTCCAATCTCCCTTCTATGTTCTGTTTTAAAACTTCTGGAAAAACTTATCCATGACAAAATAATCCACTTTGTTTCTGCCTCAATTTCGTCATCGCAGTTTGGGTTCCGCCCTAATTATTCCACAACTCAGCAACTACTGATTTTCCTCTATTCCATCCACGATTCTTTAAACTCAAACTGTCAAGCTGATGTCGTATACCTCGACTTCAAAAAAGCTTTTGACAGCGTTTCTCACAATGAACTGCTAGCTAAGTTCTGGACTTTCAGAATAACTGGTAATCTTTGGAGGTGGTTCAAGGCTTACCTTTCACATTGATCCCAACATGTGAAACTCAATTACTGTATCTCTGACCCTCTTCCGGTAATTTCTGGTGTGCCTCAAGGCAGTATTCTCGGCCCTCTTCTCTTCTAGATTTTTGTTAATGATCTCCCTAAATCCTCAAATGTTTTTTCTTTGCGGATGACACAAAATGCCTGAAGAAAATTTCCTCTCTAACTGATTGTCATTTACTCCAAGAAGACCTCCTCTGTTTATCTAATTGGAGCCACAGTGGAACCTCCAGTTCAACGAAAGGAAATGTGTGCTATATAGCTACTCAGATTCTGCCTCAGTTCACCTCGCATCCTATATATTTGATTACTCCTTTAACAGCATGCCAATCCAAGTCGTTGACTGCCATCGTGACCTCGGCATCCTAATGTCCTGTGATCTTAAATGGTGCCACCACCTTAAATTTATATCCTCTCGAGCCTACAAAATTCTAGGTCTCATTCTCATCCAGGTTACCTCTCTCATCCAAGAAGAAACTCTATCTCTCTCTCGTCCGCTCTCAGCTAACTTATACTTCACAGATTTGGAGACCCAACCTTCTAAAGGATATTTCTGCACTTGAACGTATTCAACGTCAAGCTACC